TTAATATATCATCAACTACAATTCAAAATTTACCTTGTTATCGAACGTCATTCATTGCGTAAAATGAAATTTGTATGAGTTGATTTTGTAATGAAATAAATTAGGACATAATATAATATTTAATAAATTTTAAATCAAGAATAAAAACTGAACGGTTATTTTTATCATATCCTAACCTGAACCAATATTCTTTATGGTTTGGAACCCAGATAAGCAAAGAAATATTTTAAATATTTTATTTTAATTATATTGAAACTAAAAATGTGAAACAATTAATTAAGCTTAAACATCATGTTTAAATATTAAAAAGAAATTATGTTGGAAAAATGATTTATTAAATAAAAAATTATTTTTGATCTTCTTTGAGAATGCTTAAGTAAGTTTTGATTAAATTTTATCTAAAATTCCAAATCTTTTTTGTAAAAAGTTTTTTGGCCTGGTTCGATTTATTCCTAACAGTCGATTGTTTAGTCAGTTATTTAGCTTAGACTAAACAGTCTAAAAAGCAAAATAAACTTTTTTAATAAAATCGAAAAAAAAAAAATTAAATATAAAAAAACGAGAAAATAGAAATGCCACAAAATTCTTGACAAACCAAAATAGTGTCCTAGTTCAAAAGCTGATTATTTTTGGCTAAGCAGCAATTAAGTATCAAAATTATGTCGAAACAGGACACATCCTTTGATTTTTACTCATAAAAAATCTTTCATGATGAAATAAAAAATTCTATAAAATATTGGGTTTCTTTAATTTTCATTCTCTAGTCTGATGAAATTTAAAGATTTTTTTCAATCTGCATATAACTTTGTTTTCTTATTATTAAGTTCTTAATATTGAATTTCTCAAATATAATCTATTTTGTATCCATTTATTTCGATAAAAATGATATATACTATAAACTTTTGTTATGATTTTAATCGACCTAAATATATCATGGTTTGATTACATGTTATTTCACGATTTCGTTCATTTAGATTATTTCTTATAACATCTTAATTAATCAATTGCCCATGATAACCCTACTCCAAATATTGTTAAATGTGATTATTGTAGATAGTAAAATTGTAAGAAATAAATACATGTAAGAGCTGAATGATATTAAAAACAATTTCATCTCTTGAATTTTAATATAAAAAATATTAATTTATAACATTTTTTATTCGTGGCTTATCAAAATTTAAGTCTTTTATAGAGATCAAAAAGAAGTATTTAAATTTGTGACTTTCAATAAATTAAATTTTTAAGATAATTTCTTTCTAATATTTAATCATGATGTTTAAGCTTAATTATTTGCTTTCACTTATCATAAATTAAAATCTTTCTTTGTATACCCCTCCCCCCCCCCCTTTTGTTTTTAAAATTAAATTATCTATTTTTTCAAATATACATTTTAACAATTAAAGACTATATATATGTAACTAAAAAAACGATATAAAATACAAAATTACGTTAAAAAGGGAGGGGCACAATAAAATATAATTGAGTCCCTAAAAAAGGCTGTAATTATATTCAAATATTTCTATTTTTATCTTAAGAAAATGAATTATTTCTCGAATGTGTGGAATCGTATGGGTCGAAATTTCTCAAGGATCAAAATATCCACTGGTGGATGTGACAATTAGAGTGAAAATAAAGATCCAATGTTTTATATTTATCATTTTTGTTAAGGCTTGAGCAGGGATGTGAACCCGGACCCTCGTATTTTGGCTGAACCCGGACCCTTTTAAAAAGTGGAGGGTCCAAGGGTTCAGGGTGCTAAAAATTTTTAACTTAAAATTTTTTTTTTAAATTAATGTAAAAATATAATTTTTAAAAAATAATATATAATTTTTAAAAAATAATATATAATTTTTAAAAAATAATATAAAATTTTTATAATTTTTAAAAAATAATACAAAATTTTTATAATTTTTTTCGTGGAATCTCCCTAAAAAATAGTCACTTTAAAACTATAATTGATAAAGCAAGGGATGTTTTAAAATATTTAAGGGGATGTTTTAAAATATTTAAGAACTCCCACAATTGTTAGAATATTAAAATCCATGAAAAGGTAAATGGCAATTTTAGATTGCACAACACGTTGGTCCTCTATATGTAAGATGCTAGAGCGATTATTAAGTTTGAAAGATTTCTGTAATGATTTTATCATAGGAGCATGTGAAATCATTTTGTCAGAAGATGATTGGAATCAAGTAAAAGAGATTACTAGTGTGCTGGTTCCTTTAAAAATAACAACATTAAGAGTGCAAGCTGAACAATTATGTCTATCGGACTTTTATGGCATATGGTTAAGATGTCGATTAGAGTTAGGGAGATTAACAAGTTCTTTTTCAAATGAAGTATTAGAAAATACCAAAATAAGAGAGCAACAATATTTATAAAATAGTGTTGTATATGCTTCTATATATTTAGACCCGCGATATCAGGTTTTATTAAGTAGTGAGCAAAAACAAATGGCTATAGACCATCTTGAAGATTTATGGCATACCCAAAACTCTATTATTTACAATACATTGGTGGTTACAATATCTACTGGTTGATAACAATGATAATGATGATCTGGAAATTTTACTATTAGATAGAGAAAAAAATTAAATTATCATCTGATAGAAAGGAGCAAAATATATCTATTATATCTTTAATAGAAAAGTTCTCGGAAGTTATGAGAATAAATAGAGATGCAAACATTTTAAAATTCTGGGAGGAAAATTCTTCAATATATCCAGAATTATATACCTTTTCTAGAATCGTCATGGCTGTACCGGCAACACAAGTACAATAATTTATGTATTATAAAAATGACTATCTATTTTAGGTAAGCGTAGAACGTGGATTTTCATCGTTGACTAATTTACGTGGAAATCTGACGGATGATATTTTAGAAGATATCATGATTGTGCGATTGAATAAAAGATTTAAAATATAAATTATCTCATTTCGAATTATAAATATGTATATATTGAATTATAATAAAAAATGAATGAAAATAAGTCTTATTTTGAGTCATTATTTTTATGTTTCCTCTGAACCCGGACCCTGGACCCGGGTCCTTTTTAAATTTATTACCGGACCCAACCCTTTTTTTTGTCGAAGGGTTCACATCCCTGGGCTTGAGTAAGTGTGTTGCTATTGATATTTATAGGTAGTGTTGTTAAACGGCTCGATTTAAGCCGATTTTAAAAACGGTTAACTCAATATTTTAGCCAGTAAAACATTGCATGCGCCTCGAGATGTTGCTACAAGATCTTTAAATCTTTGTGCCATCTATGACCAAAATCTTCAGACTTGCCTAATTTCTTCCTGGCCAAAATAATGAGTTAACAGTTTTTAAAAATCGGCTCAAATCGAGCCGTTTAACAGCACTATTTGCAGGGTAAGTGGTAATATATTTACCCATAACCTATGTGATAGTGTCAAGCCATTAAACTAATAATAGGTTACAAAGTTCTAAGATATTGGTGATTCGAGCTTTAAGAATAGACTAGTTTATTTGAGGAATGACACTGATATGGCCCTAGCTTTTAATACAATTTAACCATGTCTGTCCAGCATAAACTGGTAAGTTGCAATTCAGGCAATTATGTGGTTGTATATTTAATAATAAGACACATTTCACTCTAAAATAAATGGTATATAATTCATAAATTTGCATAAAAACCATATAAATTTAATTATGGGGTTAACAAAAACTTCAAATTTAAATATTCTTCAGTCAAAATCTTTGGCAAAAATCTTTGAGATTAACAAAATTGAAGATCTTTTTTAAAGATCAAATAAATTTTTTATAAAAATTTATGATTTTATCATCTAAGATTTTTTATCATAATAATCACATTTACTTATAAAATATTTTTGAGAAAATTTTATGTGTTTGAGCATTCTCAAAACCTGAGATCAAAATCTTTGATGATTTTTTTTTGAGCAAATGTTAAATTCTGATTTAAATGGTGTGTAAAAATCTAATTATCTAAATAAATTTTGAACTCTTATTTGAAAAATTGCATACTTTTTCCCCAATCCAACAGAAATAAGGAATAAGAGAAGTTTACCTAATGAATGATAAAGGCTAACATCAACACTTCTATCTTAAATGTAATAAAAAAAAAATTTTTATATTATTTATTTATTTGTATTTAGATTTAATTTAAAAATATATTTTAATAAATTTTTTAAACTATTATCTGGTTGTTGTTGCATTTTCAAAAATTTTAAACATATTGCAAATATTTAAAATTATATAAATAAGATACCTTCAGATATATAAGTGATAATAATGTATAACCAATATCACTACTAATAGAATTGATGCATATAGAGAAATAAAAAAAGATAACAGGTGAGATGAAATGAGATACACATATAATTAGTTTTAAAATCTTGGTTTTATATTTTTTATTTTCTTAAATATATATAAAACTTAATGATAATTAAAATGCAATATGCTAAAATTTTGGTTTGAAATGTTTAGATTTTGCCTAACAAGTCAATAATTAAAATCTAATTGTTATATATTATAATCAATTAATTGGGTACCAGACCGTACCCATTTTGACATTATCTCCCGAGCCCGATCAATTATTATAAAGGAATCTTAATTTCTCTCATTATTGTTATTCCTTAGAAAATTGTTCTTTATGGAAACATCAATAATTTTGATGAAGTTAATAAAAAGAATATTTTAAAATAAATTTCACTTAATGTAATAATTATGTATTGACTCAGTGTTGAACTTAAATGACAATACCACTAATTGGATATCTCTCATTCCTTAGAAAATGAGTCAGCCAATATCTTTATGGAGATTACTCGTATATAGACCCATCCACAGTATCAAAACATTAACCATTTCAAAGAAATTGCAGAAACTAAAAAATAATTCTTGCCATATTTTAATCACACTGCTTAACACCACTTCTTAAAATTTGTATAAAGATTTCTCAACACTAAGTTGGTGGCTAAGATTTTCTGTAAACAGAAATAGATACCATAATATACTATGCATAGAATTTTTATTGAATTTTCTTTCTCATTAAAAAAAATTAACTTTGACTAAAAAATAAAATATTTTGAAAAAAGGAAATGCCCCAAAAAAATATTCAATCAAGGATGATATATATAGATAATTGTATAAAGTAAGGGCAAAAGAATGAAGGAAAAGTTTAATCAAACAAGGACATTCACAAATTCAGAGAAAATTTAAAATAAAGTCATTTAAAAATTGAATATTCTCTAACTCTAAAAAATTATATTTTTATTTTCTCCTTTTTGTATTCCTATAATTTTATGGCTCTCTTTATTCTTGTCATAAAAATTTCCTACTATTTATTTTATGAAATAGTTGTAAAAAGTGGTATAATGATGATATATCTTATCCATGATACCTCTTTGTAGTGCATTTTTAGACCCTATAAAATTGTAATATAAAATTTATTGAATGATTAATATTATACATGTAACAAGTAATCTATTTCACGATTTTTGGTTTTTAATAATTTACCAGCTTCCAGTCATGTTTTTACCATTAGAGAAACGAAAATCTAGAACGATGAATGTTACAGAAATTAAAATGGTTATTGATAAACTATATATTTTATTAATATCACAAATTCTTGACTCAATCTGAGCTATAAAAAATAAAAGAAAAAAAATTTGGTAAAATTAAGAGCTACAATTTTTTTGGAATTTGGCTGTTAATTTCAAATTCAATAAATGATGTAAAAATAATTATGGACTAATCTCAGGATTATGAGGACAATAAAATTTTGTATAAACAAAAAGTTATAGTAAATTGTTTTTTTTAACCTTAACAAAAAAAATGCATCAATAGTTGATTCTTATGTATCAATGCGCCTTTCGCAATAATATAATAATAATAATGATAAATAAATATTAAAAAAATCGTCATTTTTTTTAAATATAGTATAAGTATGAAACTTACCAATTTTATTATTCCAAAAAAAGAAGTATCAAGTTAATTTAAATAAGACTATTGAATGTAAATTTTATATATTCAACCATATTTTGTAGGTTGCCCTTGCCTTCAAGATATCCTCATAGGATCTCATGAATATAAACAAATTACGAAAATACTATCAGACTCCTTCACTTGTGATAAAAACCCATTGTGCGGAATTATGACCAAAAAAGTGCTAAATTTTTTAAATGCGCATTTATACATACTACGTCTAATAGTTTTTTCTATCTGATATCCTACTTTAAGGTAAAATATTTTTGTTTGTTTTTATTAAACAGCCTAACAATCAACTGTTAAAGTATTTATAATACTTAAATAGTTGGTTGTTAATTCGTTTAATGATTGCTATGTATAATAAAATAATCTGTTCTTAGCTCAATTAAATATTCAAATTGCACATGCGCAGATTTTTCTATATAATCGTTATGCAAATTTAATATCACTAGGAGAATAAATATATTTATTTTAATCATTAAAAATATTTTTATAATTTATTCGCAAAATTTTATATTAAAAATAAATCAAACCATTTGACTCATTTCTGTTTCTCCCGATTATTTCACAAATAATGCAAACTACTCTCGTAATATTTGGTAGAAATTTTACATGATTTCAATATACATATAATAATTTTTTTATAGATACTATTTAACTATAGAAAATTGTATTATTAGTTCCATTCTTATAAGTTTGGCAATCGTTATTATGAAGTTACTAAATATGTCATATAAAGATACATATAACAAAAAATTATATATCCAGTAAAAAGAATAAGTGTTTCTTTTATAAAGAAATGAAACTTGTTATATAATCCTTTATTTGCTTATAATAAAAATAAGGAGAATGAAAATAATTAACCAACTTCAAATGATATGAAAAGTTATTCCTCACCTCCAATCTTTGTGGAAGTGTGAAAGAAAATTCTCATCCAAATTTTAGCGCTTTTTGGGGTCGATTGTTTAAATTTTTAAATGAAGATAAAGAAATTCTTAACAAACCAAATACCGTATAAACCCGTTATAACCATGCTGGGAACGTTATAACGGAGTTACACTGTATATGGTATAGTTAAAATGGACAAACAAAAAATTTCCCAAAGAAGATTGATAAACCAGATATTTAAAAAGTTAAATAACCAAACCGAAAATTTGTTTCAACATTCCCGAAAAAATATTATTTGTTGTCCTTAAGATGATATATTGTGAATAACATTAATTTATTTCTTTAAAATTTTTTAACCTGCAATCATTCTCAGAAGAGAAAACATGTGACTTAAGTATATTAGGGTTTAAAATTTTAGTAATATGTTTATTCAAATAACTAGTTAATCTGACCTGGAGGCTAGACAAAAATATTTTATGACATGGATTACAACTTTTACAAAATTATTTTGAGTCCCAATACAAAAAAATAATTACTTCAAAAATCTTAATGGGCTTTGCTGATCTCTAATTAAAATTTATCAGATTGACATCATATCTTATGGGTTGGTTTTACGCAGCTAAACTTTCATTTAATTTTTTAAACACTACCGATCACAATGCAAATTTTTCTACTAAATTCTATGATTCATATTCAGCAATAAACTTACGTTATTTTGACGAAAGTGACATCCAAAACTTTTTTATGAACACGCTGAATATTAATAATTTGTTTAGATGTTTTATACTCCTATTGAAAGGTGCAAATAAGAAATTAGACATCTGACAATCTAATATAAAAATGACCTTTTAGACAATCTTTTTTATACTTTTAATAATTTCAGTTTAGCATTGGGGAGCAATATCTACATAAAGAAAAGGGGACATTTTTCCTTATATCCTATAAAAATTAAGGCGTAAAATTTTTTTTTTGAGGGAGGAGGATAAATTCTACAATGTTGTACACAAATTCGTTAAGGATAAGAATAATAGTTATAAAAAGTATGTTGGATGAAAAAGCATTGATAATTCAATAATAAACACTATTTATATAATTATATTCATCTTCATACACTAAAGATTATTGTTTTAAATTTAATACATTTTCACTAAATAATATTTCTACACCTATATATTAAACTGGTATGCATTAAGATTAGTGAGGGCTGGCCCAGATTATGAAAATTTTTGAAAAGTAATACAATTTTACACAAGATGTCCAGCCCTGCGCATAATAATTTTTATGAATAAAAAACCTAAATTTTGCCTAATTGTAAGCTAAAAAAAATTGTAAATTTCAGATCCTGTACATAAAAATATTTTACACAGGCTGTCCTGCTCTGCCGTAAGGCCAGGCCATACCGATCTCTAGTGTGTCTAAATATATTAATGAAATTTGTTTGAAACTTAATTCAATTTTAATCTATTCAGTCAGTCCCCTATGAGGATTTACTTTAACTTTCAAAAATATATAAACCTGCAGGCCCCCCGCCGTATTTTAATTTTTTTAAATTTACCAGGGCCGGGCTTAAAATTTTTTTTAAAAAACACCCAGGTCAGGCTAGGATGTATATTTTAAAAACAAATATTTTAAATTGCAATTATTAGATATAAAATTAAAAATAAATATATTTTTAAAAAATTCGGGCCGTGCCTGAGTAATTAAAACCCAGGCTGGGCCGAAAAATGTTTTTGAAAAATAACCAGGTCCGGGCCGTGCAAATTGGTACCTCTGCAGGTCTCTCTTATTTTTAAAAAAGTTAAATTCATTTATTTACTACAGTATCTAATAGAGGTTTTAAAAAAATTTTGCGAGCTCATGGTTTTCGAAAAAATTGCCTCCCTGCTATTGAAAATTTTGTTTAGCTCGCCCACCCATTATTTAAAAATTATTTGATTATATTTATTTATTTTACAAATAAAATATTGAAAAAAATGATAAACTTAGTGGAAAATCTTGATATTTATTATGTAATAAATAAATATATTCTTGTTCTCATTTTGAAAAAATATTTTTAATAAATATAAGCCTGTTCTCATTTTTTTAAATATATCAAATTTGCCTGCCCGCTCATTTTAGAAATATATACGCCTCAGACCTCTACTAATACATATCGAATTTAGATCGTTTTAATGATTATTTTATTTTAGTCAAGCACGCGATAAAATTTTTTAAAAAAATAAAGTGGCCTGGTCGGAAAATTATAAAAAAAATTAGCAGAGCCGGGCAATTCATGCTGAAAAAATTTTCAGATCGGCAGAACCAGATAATGTATATGTTAACGTCAATGCGTTTTTTCCCGCGATATGTTATTTTTTTCAATTTTAAATCATATTTTGAGCGTGTTTTTTTTCAATTTTAAATTATATTTTAAGCGTGTTTTTTTTCAATATAAAATATGATTTTACCAGAAATGTATTCCATCATGTTTGAAATACTTATGAATATCAGATAATTTATCATGAAATTTTGAACTTAATATAATTTACATTAGTTTTTCCATTGATTTTTTATATAAGTTATAAATGAGTCAAAAGTTATTGGTAAAATTATCTACAATTCATAAGATAGGTATTCTAAACATGCTGGAATACTTTTCCGATAAAATCAGAATTTTAAATTTAAAAAAAACGTGCTCAAAAAACGATTTAAAGTTGAAAAAAATATACATTGTCGGAAAAACACATTGACGCTAACATTGATTTTTCGTAAAATTTTAATAAGGCCCGGCCTTAAGATTTTAAAATATTTTTTGAATTGCAATCTAATATTTTTATTATGTACTGTTTGAAATTAAATTACAATATGCCTATCGTCCAACTAAAATACTAAATATATAAATAATATATTAAATTCACAAAAAATTAAACAATTTATTTACATGATATAATTACAAATGTACAACACAATTGTTTTATAAAACGGTTGTTGGATAAATAGATATTCATAGAGGAGGGATTTTAAGAGCCTTAATTGACATTGGGAGAAAAAATAGGATGGCCTAAAAATTCATAGAAGCAAAATTAAAGGGATAGGTCAGACTTTTCATAAAACGTTAACAGGCCAGACCTAAATTTTCATATAATTTTGACAGGCCGGGAAATTTTTAAAAGACTCTAAAAGTCAGGGCCTGGCAAAAAAAATTAAAAATTTTGGGGTGGACTGTTTTGGGGTGGACTGGACAACTTTTAAAATTCTTAACAGTCCAAAACGGGTAGGGCTTTCCTCTAATCTACATTGTGTATTTGTAATTGGATCATTTCATAAATAACTTGTTTAATTTTTTGTGAATTTTTATATATTTCGTATTTTAGTTAGACAGCTCTTGTACAAAGAAATAAGTATAATGTAATTTATTTTCAAATATTATTACAATCAGAATATTAGCTTGAAATTCTAACAAAATATCAAAAGTATTATGCCCGGGTTGGCATTAAAGTTTTATGAAAAATCAGATTTGCGAGCTCCTCCTTTTTATGTATACGGTCCGGCCAGAATATATTTTACGAATTGCCCGGCCCAAAAATAGTTTATATACTAATTTCCGGTCGGACTTTGCAGATCTCTAAAATATATATAGCTTTTTTAATATCAACTATGTTATAACTGTAATTTGTATTTCTAAAAAATAGAATTAAAAACATTTACAAATCAAAATAATAATAAAAAAATAATTTAAGAAAAACATAATTGTCTTCCTAAAAGGAACAATAGTTAGATTTAGAAATATTTAATTGTATATTCTCTCCAAAAGAATTCCCTAGGTTCAAGGGCTTGTATTTTTATTCTGTGAGCCAAATTTTTATAAAAGCAAAAGTGATATGCGCAAATTGTCTACTGGTGGAAGTAATTGACGAGAATATAAAATTACATATGTTTTATATTAATTTCCATGATAAATCAACAAAAAAACACGATTTTCAATCCAACCCTCTCAGATTTTTCTAAAATTTTTACAAGATTTGTATATATTATAACTAAGAAAAAAATAAAATTTTAGCCTCCAACTCCTAACTGTGGCTGAGATAACGGGCTCTAAATGTCGAAAAAATGGTACCTTTGGATATAATGAGCTAGAAGCGTCATTTAAATTTAGTAGTAGAACTTTAAAGTTATATAATAATAAATATTGTTAAAAAATAATGTCAAAAACCAAAAATTATTATAAAATCAAATCGATATTTTTTTTTCTCAATTTTTTTCAAGTTTGGCCGAGCACAGGTTTAGGAGTGAAAATATTCTTAATAAATATTTGCTATAAATCAAAAGCTATCAAATATTTTATGTTTAATATTTAAAAGAATAATTATATAAGATTTGAAAACGTTTGGAATATATTTGATGAATTAAAATATTTTTCTTCTCAAGAATATTTACAAAATACAAATCAATTTTTAATTATAATTTAATTAAGGACAAAATATAATTTATTTTTAAATTTATAATTGTAAATTAAATAATTTTCACAATATGAATATAATTAACTTTAATTTTATTTTCCATGAGAGGTATAAACGCATGAAACTTTTGTGTTCCAGGAATATGTTTAGCCTTTTGAAACCTTGTTTCAGATATTTTTCTTTTCATATTCATGGTCGTTTATAAGCGTATAATTAACTCCTGTAATATTTTTTATAAAAAATAAAATAAATCTAATGTATTTAATATCTAGTTCTCGTAATGATGCTGAAGGCTAGCTATTGCTTCCAATTTTTTGGTAATTCCATTAAATTATCGCAAGCACTTATGTCATGCGCTGTTGCGAAAAAATGTTATTCTACTTTGATTCCGAAATCTAATTCATGAAGGCAAAGATTATGAAATTTTTTTTTATTTTTATATTACGTTACTGCGCCATCAGAAAAATAAAATATTTTTGATATATTATAAAATTTTGATTTAAGAAAATTAATCATTATATTTTAAAATAAATAAAGGACATGATGACAGCATCACATAGTTAATTTGTTTGATCATATTATTTTTACGAAATACACCATAAAGGGATGGAGAGTAGACTGGTTATTATTACAGCGGAATCCCTGAACGTGGTCCTGCGTCACATAAGTATAATTTTTCGAAAAATCACATATAACTAAAAAATCACTAACATTTAAACTTGATTTTAATGAATAATGCTGGTTGCAGCGAAGATATAAATGAATGTGTGGTTATTGTATTTAATATTTTGAAAAATAAATATAAAATAGGATGTAGACTTGCAAAATGTTTCAAGAGTCGTTCGATCAATAGTTAACCATTGTTTGAAAGTTGTATAATCAATTACACTATTTACTGTCTAATGATATCTTAAAAATTTCTCGTAGACTAAGGAAACCCGTGTAAAGTTTACTTTCTCTAAGGTAACAATCAGGAATTGCAGAGATTGTGCAATACAATCTTGATAATCTATAACGGGGAATATAGCATTAGACGTTAATTGGGCAAATCTTCCCGTTTAGCATCAATTAATTTTGATAATAGTTCATTTCCAAGTTCTCCAGCTAAAACACAATATTTTGGTCTTAAATACGCAAATTTAATAAAGTTCACTTTTATGACCATGTTTTTCATTAAAATTAGAATATAATTTCTTAAGATTGCATAAAATGAGTCTTTTTTGCAATTAACATTTCTCTCCTTATTTATATAAAATGATTTTTACAAAGGCATTTTGCGACTGTTTTTATCGGAATTATAAAATTTTTCAATAATATATATAAATTCGTCTTGAAAAACACTCCATGAGGAAGTACATTTTTTACCTTCACCGCGTATGTGTTTATGCAAATTGTGCGCGAATTTTTACAACTGATTAATGATTAAAATGCCATATCTCCTATACCTGAACTCGACCCTATTTGTTATTAATTAATCCTTTATATAAAAAAGTTGAGAAAAAACCGATTTGATTTTATGATCATTTCCGGTTTTCAATTTCCGGCTTTTGACATTGAAAATTTTTTAACAATATTTAACATTATATAATTTTAAAGGTCTACCATTAGGCTATATAAAAAAACAAATGACACTTCTAGCTCAATTATATCCAAACAGGCGCGTAACCATAAAATTTATATGGGAATGGAGGGGGGGGGATAATTTTTTATATTGAAATGGTTTTTTTTGAGCATTAAAAATTTATCAGAACTAATGATATAAGATTTATTAGAACTAATCATTATATAAAATATTAAAAATTATCATATAACACAAATAATAAAATATTGGAAAATACAAAATATTAAGAGCGAATTTAATACTGTTAAAAAATAAATATAGCTATATAAATCTGTATCTAAATCACAATAAAATATAAAATTAAATATTTTATAATGATTTAAAAAGTTAATCAAAATATTATTAATAAATGAAAATTTATTCTTCTTTGCAATTGGGCCAATTTTTAGTAATTTGTTCTGTGTATTAGAAGATCTCCATGAGTAAAACTAGTCTATTCAATCAATTTTAAGATGTTATACTTTTGATATAGGTTTTATTATCTGTAATGAGTAAAAGTTTCTCTTATTTGTACTTATACTAATTGATATCATTGGCAAAATATACAGTAATTTTAATATATTTGGAAAAACTTATAAAATATATTTTAAAGTAAGCAATGCTTCACTTGTATTCCTTGAAGGATTATTTACAAATATGAATCTTCCATACCATTGAAATTCTGAAATTAATTGGCCTTCATGTACATTTATAACCTATAAATAAAATTTAGCTAAATATTTAATTTTTCAATATCAAGATGTGATATACCTCAGATTAAAGAAGTTATAAGATATAATTGTAAATTGGATAGAGCCAAATAATAAATCGCTAATCGTTCATAAGTGGAATAAAAACTGTTATATTATAATAATCCTCAATTGAGTCCACGTTAATACAAACAACGATTTGTTTGTCGGTGAAATCGAGGCTTTTGAATCTCAAAAACATATAATTTTGCATTCGCTCAACAATCAGATGAATCTCGAAAAATTTCTGGTCGATATTATCATAACTTCAACCAAATCCATTTTTTGAAAAATATTGCATAAAATTGTTGTGTAATAAATAATTTATTAATACATTCCAATGAAAAAAATCGGCAGTCATATTAAATCAATGTATCAGTTTCAGATGAAATATCTGTTTCAAGTGATTCTGATATTTCTCCACGGGCATACAAAATGGGTTCTTCTAGATCTTAAAAAATTTGTAATAGCTTTATGTAGAAGGCTCCATCTTGTCATGGAGGCTTTTTGCAGCTTAATTTTTCTATAGCATAAAAAGTCTCAGAAATATTTATAATCATACACTCTAGAAATTTTCTAATCTTAGTTTTTAGTAAAGATAATCAGATAGAATTTTTTTTTGGTTGATAATTTTCTTATATCCATTAGTATTTAAGGTTTAAAAAGTTTAAGAAAATAAACTTTAAAATTTCTTGAGATTAAATAATATAAAAGAAATAAATATTTTAACATTTTGCTAACTTGATACAGCGTGGCTCTCCCTCTCCCATCCCCAACTGGCTACGCGCCATCCAAAAATAGCATTTTGTCCAAAATGCCCCATTTTTCCGATATTTAGTGGCACATATTTCAGCCGCTAGTTGGGGTTGAAATCTAATTATATTTTTTTCTTAGTTATAATATATGTAACATCTAGTAAAAATTTTGGAAAAATCTGAGGGAGTCGAGTTGAAACTCATGTTGATTTGTCATGTTAACCATATATATTATTTTTATATTAATACAAAAAATAAAAATAAATTTTTAAAGAAGGGAGAAGGGGGTTAGCATAATAAAAATTTGTATTTTATAGCTTGAAAAAAGAAATTATTTGGCTTCCAATGTTTGGATTTTTGGATATAAAATTATATTTGAATATATTTTGTTGGGAAATTTATATTTTATTGAGAAAAAATTTTTATTTGAATATATTTTCTTGAGAAGAATTTGCCCATCCCTGCTTACATCCTAGATTTCCATTATTGATTATAACTTTATTAAATTATAAAGGAGAAAAAGAACAAATAATGTTGTTTCAATGTATATATATATATATATATATATATATACTGCTTACTTAATATATTGTATTCCACATTTTGTGAGATTTTTTTAATTGATCAAGTGTTTTATGTTTCAAATATATTTATTTTAAAAATTTTTATTATTAGACTCAAATATTCGTCAATAAAAAGGGTGAGGAAAAATACCTTGAAAAAAAATATGAGATGAAAAAGTTTCTCAGCGGAAGATCTCCACAAGAAATTTACGCGTTTTCATTCGTACCGCTCGATAAAGTCAATACGATAGCCAATGGAAGCTTAGAGATTGGTAATTTGAAAAAATCTATTCTTGGTTCCTGGGAAAAGGGAGTACATTTATTTCGTTATGCCGACACGTGCATTTTAGACTCTAAGATCAATAAAAGAAATTACCATACGGACACGTATGGTAATCGTTTATGGACCTCCGATTTTCCTCCCTACACTTTCAAACTAGATAAAGGCGAACAAATATCTTGTCTTATCATATTCAAAGTTATTATCATAATAACGTTAACCCTAAATAAAAAAAATTTTTATAGGTTTTATTGGGTCGAATACAGACGGTTGTTGTTAATGGTGAGGAGAACGAAGTTGACCCATCCCCAATCCACGACTCTCATATACCTGATCAAAAGCCTATACCAGATGAAAAATCTATTTCCCTTAAAAGAGATAAATCTATGGTGAGCGCACAAATATATACATTTGATCTAATAATATAAAATTCTACCGTTGAAATATTTGATTGGTATAAATCTATTTTTTAAAAAAGATGCTTAAACCCTTTCAGATGTGATAATATAAATTGGAAACCACTTACAAAATATTAAATTTAAACTTAATGCCCGCACATTCAAAATTACTACACAATTGATAAATTTATATTTGAAACAAGAATCTAACTAATATGGTATTTGTTATTTTTAAATTTACTAATGAAAAATTTAAAAAAAAAGATAAAGTTTTATGTTTTTAAAGCTGTAAAATTATGAATGATTAAAACTAAATAAATAAGATACAGGTTCACTCAAATCATGTTCTATTTAATTTTTTTTAATTGCTACGCTTACCGATACTGGGAGTAGTGTTGTTAAAATGCCAGATTCGGGTCGATTTTTAAAAATGGCCCGATTAAAATTTTAGCCAAAATAATATTATATAAGCCTCGAGATTTGGCCAATAGATGTCCAAACCTTTCAGTCATATATGAGCAAAATCTCCACGCTTACATAATATTATTTTTAAAAAATTATGAGCAATTTGTTATTCACGCCGGAAATGGTTAAAAAATAGTTTTGTTTTAATTAGGTGTCTACTGATTACACTTTTGAAAGGCCTGTCAGATCCGATACCTTATTGCCGATATTAAATTGATATCGGCCGATCAGCGATACAATATCACTAATCTTATTTTGTTAGTTATATTAATAATATATTTTAGCTTTTATTATACATAGATAAGTCATTTAAAAATATACTATTATCAAATTTTGATTAAATTATCATTTAGATACATTTTCTTAAATATTAATAAATTTAAAGACGCCATTTTAACGGATCTATCGCCGATATTATTAAAAGACGTAAAATCGACCCGATACAATAAAAAAATATCGGTACATCCCTAGTTATAATTTTAGTTGAGTTCAGAAACTGAATCAAAGAAGATTTACCATTATATTTAAGGCTTTAGTAAATTTAGGGCTATATTTCATTGTTCTACGTTTTTTTGCAAATTTTTATAATTTATTTACTAGATTTTTTTAATGATGATTATTTTTAAAAAAATTTTTGTCCTTTAGATTTATATCTATGAATACGATATGAAGAATCTCTCCCTAATTCAATATCCGCGAAATATATCACCTTATGCTGTCATTTATTACACTAAACAACCCAACCAGCGCTTCGAACGATTGATTCACAACAATATTTATAATAATCCCATTCATGGAAAAAAAGGAAACAAAATTTCTACCCTAGTAAACAAGAGTGGATCGATCTCTCAACCAGAGCCACCCTCTATTGTCAAACCTGAGATATCTACAAAAGATGTCGATGAACGCCGACATTCTTTGATACCCCTTTACCCCAAGCCAGAAATAAATGGTCCGCGTCCTAATTTCCCGGTCATAATAACCGATGTTCCTATTCCTAATCAAAGCCTTCCATATATCAGAAATGAGAATCTCATTCATAATACTACGGTCACCCAATTGCCTTACAATTATCATGATGCTTACAATCAAAATTTATTACACGTGAATACGTATAACAGAGATGTAAATTACAATAATACCTATATAACATCTAACAATCAATATCCCAACATTGGTTTATGCTATGCCAATGTTTTATCAACAACAAATTCAAACAATGCAGTCACATTCACAAATACCATGTATGTTATTTAACAAATCTAATCAGCCAAATAATTTTTTTTTTAAATAGGTTATATAATGATAAGGTTAATAATACATCCATCCTGGACAAATGTAACCAACTAATAGGCCAATTAGGCTTGGACCAAGGCGTCGACTTTTATAACTTTATATTTTCAATCATGTTAAAAATTCTCTCGACTTTAGATGAAAAATTTAACCAGGTCGATAGTAAGAATTCGATTCATAAAACAATAGACTTCATGGTTCAATACATATCAGAATTTAATTCCGATTTACCTTCCGATAATCCACAGATTTTACAATCAGAACTACAGCGAACCATTGAGGATTTGGTTGAAAATCTCAGGAACCCCGACGATGATAACGAGAATGAAAATAAATGTAATATAAGCGACCTTAAAACCGAGTATACCGAAGATAATATGGAAATTGACAATTATTCCCTCAATTATCCGACCTCCTCTCCCACGGCTTCGTACACGGAACATAAATATAGCGTTAATGAAAGAAAGAGAAAGAAAGATGTCTCTGAAGGTAGTCCAGAAAATGGTCTAGACGCGGCTTCAACATCCCGTTCCTCCAAAAGGATTGATCCCAGGTTGCTGAGACAACACAAAAACAATCTCGACAACTATGATGATGATGATATTAACAACATAAGTGATATAGATATTCAGGAATACGAAGGGATTGATTGCAATGAACAAAATTTGCTTATTAAATCGAAATATGAAAACCTAAAGTTTCATGGCCGGGCCCTTATAACTTTAAACGATTTGCCGATAATTATTCCCGTAGACAAAAAACACAAAAAAGAAAAATATGATCCTCGACGTCGAAAATCGGCCGAACTTAAAACTGTCGTCAGTGCATTCAATGGCATTATTCCGGTGTTTCTAGATGATTATATTGATACCCCCTAACATTTATTGTTATAGCAATATTAATTTATATAAATATTATATTATATATTATAATGTTAAAGAAAAATAGTTTATATATCATCATAATATTGTAATTTCCAATGTTTATTTTATTAATATTTTTGTAACTTAAAAATAAATTTGATTAAAAAAAAGGTTATAATATTATATTTGTTTAAGAGTTCAGAAATTATTTTCTTAAATTTATTAGGGGCCCAAAGAATTTTATGAAGAAAGGTTATGTAAAAATTGCAAAGGTTCATTCGGGTTTAATTTGGAAATATTAGTGTTATATAAAATAAGTATAAGTTTTATTCTAATGAATATGCGAATAGATTAATTACTACTAAAAATATTTAAAATAAGGGGATCGATGAAAATTATGGATATATTCTTTTTGATTCGGTTAAGGTTCAATTTAGAACGGTTCTTTGGTTTGGTCAATTCATACAGTGAAGCTCGCATTTATTAAAAAATTATGTATATAGAATTACTAAACCCACCTTAATTGAATGTTCTCGATTTAAAAAAGTAAACCATCTCATATTTTTATATCTTAAAATGAAAACTGGCCTGAATTTTAATTTTAGTGTAACCTTTTGAGACTCGCAAAAACGAGGGAAAATATTTTTCTATTTATTTTTATAAAACCTATAATTTATATTTCTTGTAAAAAGAGCAGGTCTGGCTCTACGAATAATTGCCTTTATGTCAAGTGTAACAGGATTTTGGAACAGTAAGGGATCGACTACGATTGTTATTACAGGATTTTGGAGGATTCAGTCATATCAATAATAGGACTTAGAATCTGCATATTTTAAAAAAAGAGGAAAACTTTAACTGTATTTTAAAATTTACCTTGATTACCCCATTCACTGTACCACGCCTCGGTAACTGCATTTAACCACAACAAAAAATCGTTAGGAGAAAACCTATGATAAGGCTCGTCCACTTCCGATTTATCAAAATAAGGATAAAATAATCCTAAAGGATAAATATAATTTTGAGGACCAAATGATAGTCTATCCCTGATTCGTGAAGTATGGAAGGTATAAACTTCTTTAAATTACCTAAAAAAAGTTTATTAAATTAATTTTATTTAATAATTTATATTAAAAATTCGTCTTAAATGTATTAATCTTTTCGAATAATTGCAATTATATAAAAAATATTCTCTTTATTTATCCAAAAAATAACTCGATTTAGTTAATATAAGATGAACCGAAGTTTAAAATCCTCTTCAACATAAAATTTTTTAAAAGATAAACAGGATTTTGATCAAATTTTATTCCAAATCTTTTTTACCAAAAAATCTTGTATAAATAAATCTTCTGTGTTACTATGCATAAAAAAAACATTCATAATGAAATCACAAATTTTATATATAAAATTCGCACTTTTTAAAAGTCTTCCATTTTGTGATCCTCAAAGATTTTTTTGTTCAAAATCTTGGGCGTAAAAGAATTTTAAAATAATCTTTGAATTTTTTTTCAAACTCTGAGAAGAACATACTTATTCGAGATAGTTAAAATTCATTTTATTAATATTTAAAAAATATATAATACGAGTTAGTTAATGTAATTTAAATTTTATTTTATATAAATTGAATTTTCATTTTAAATAATCAAGCCTTATAGTGGGCACATATTGAGCGTTTGCGTTTTGCCATATTTTTTGGGTTCACGTCAATTCGGGGCAGAAAATTCGGCACGGCGACAATTCAGCGCAGCTTCAAATAGACGCGGCGGACAATTCCGAGCAGCGTCAATTCGGCGCGGCGACAATTCAGCGCGTATTTATTACAGTTGCAATTTATTATATATTACTTAGTTTAAAAAAAAATAAGGATGATTAAATAGAAATCATTTTGAATGTTGGTCCTATTAATTATTTTCATATTTATTTTTACAAAAATCTCAATTTTATTTACTAAATGTGTAATATCAAAAAAAAATTAACAACCAATATTTATACCTATTTCTTTGGTTGACCAATTTACTACATAAGATATGTTGATAAGTAGCCAATGTTATGTAAGCTGAGATTTTGGGCATATTACTTATCAGGGGGGTATTTTGGGCCTATTTTTAAAAATGGTTGATTAAAATTGTAGCCAAAATAATATATAAGATTAGAGATAGAGGTCAAATCTTTCTTTTTCTTTCTTCCTTCTATGCGCAAAATCTCCAGTCTTACAGAATATTGGCTACTAATCAACATACCTTATAATGTGGTAAATTGGTCCATTAAAGAAATAGGTATAAATATTAGTTAATTTTTTTCGATATTACACATTTAGTAAATAAAATTGAGATTTTTGTAAAAATAAATATGAAGAAATAATTAATAATACCAACATTCAAAATGACTTGTATTTAATCATCCTTATATTTTTTAATTTATAATAAATTGCAACTCTAATGGATACGCGCCGAATTGACGCCGCGCTGAATTGACGATGCGCTGAATCGTTGCCAGGCCAAATTGTCTTGCGCCGAATTTTCCACGCCGAATTGACGTGGAACCCTTTTTTTGAGGTTTATTTTTAATTAATATCGTCGATTCAACATTTTAACCATTCTAATATCGTCTGCTTGTTTATTTCATTAATTTCTAAATATTTCATTTTGAAAGATAATTAAGTTATATTTTTACATATTATATATTACAAAATAACGAATAAAAAAATGTTTTGAAAAAAGCAAATCTGTTAGCGTTTTTTTAACTAATTGCTAACGCCACGGTAATTTTACCAATGTGCTCGAAATGCATTATTTGCGTTTGCAATCGTTTAAAACTCTCAATTTTTGTGCGTACTAAAAGTGATTATTTCGAGTTTTTAAAATAATATAATAAAAAATTTACAAAAATAATTGTTAAAGAAAGGCTCGATAAAAAAAGATGCAATAAAAGTTCGGAGATAAAATAAAATTAAAAAATTGCCATACTTTTATATTTAAAAAAAAGAAAGGTTCATAATAAATGAATTAAGGTTGAATAGAAAGAAAATCATAAAGAAAAAAGAATAAAATATTGTTTACAACACTTTTAATAGTGGATGGAGTAAAAATAATGACGATGACTTTTTTCTTTACTTTTAAATTTATATTTTAGTATTCACCATTTTGCAGATTGTTTTTAAATTACCAATTTTTTTATAGCAAGCAGAGTGAAGGCTGCTTTAAAAAAAAATAACAAAAAATTATTGATTTTTTTAAATAATTTATTTCTGAAATTAAACAACCCTATATTTTTTAAAATGGAGGCATTCATTGCTCCTAATATATAAGAATATGTTAATAGGGCTGGGTAGACAACATTTGAATTTGGATAAAAGAAATACAAACAAAAATCTGAAGTTTTTGTTTTGAGAATTCAATAACAAAACAAAAACTTCAATTTTTTGTATAAAACATTTTTACTACTATAAACCAAATTCAAATTTATTTTCTTGATAGATATGACGGTATTATTTTTTAAAATCTATAACTAAATTTTTTTAACAGATAATTTTTAAATAGTGGTTTTAATGCAAACAAAACTGCGCTCTTTGTTCCTTGTAGCCCAACATATGAATAAAATTGTTATTTTTTAATTAACTTATACATAGATATTAGGCCTAATCATATGCTCTTTGCATCATTGGGATCGTTTGAGAAAGGGCAATGGGAGGATGGGGTCAAATTCCATAACTTTGGGGAGCTTCGTGAACATTTTTTAAGATATGCTATTTTTATGGATTTCTTGGTAATCTCGATTTAAATATCCTATTTTTGCTAATTTTGGAAATGAAATTTTTAAGTTTAAAAAGCAACGTCAAATCTTCAGGTGATTTCTCTGGTTGGGAATAAGAAATATAATTTAAAAAATGTGATTTGACAATAATATTGATGGAAGTGAGAATTTAAAATTAACTAATATTACGTCTTTATATTATAAATGATGCCTATAAAATAGTTTTCAGTAAACATTATAAAATATATTTTTGCAGATATTAGTTATTGATCATGTTATTTATTTATAATATAAAAGGAGAATAGAGTAATGCAATCTTTATTCATTTTTTTAATGTCGTTCCATTCTATCCAGACCATAATTATTATAAATGTATGATTTTCAATGCACACGTTCTTAAAATTAATTAAATACCAATGTTTACATTTTTTACATCAACTTTGACTTATGTAATATTTTATGATTTATAAATGATGTAGATATAGCCTCTCTAGGTCATATTACATCTTTCTCTTTCAGAAAATAATAAAAGAAGAAATTTTAAATTTATTTATAACCTTATATTTATAAAATTTTGAAGATTGTTATTCTTGTTCATAAATAAAGATACACCCACCCCTCCCCTCCTCTTCTACCCCGTCTCTTGGCAAAATTTTATCCAGCTAAAATTTAAGCAGATTTTCTTAAATTTTTTAAATTCTAAAGACTGATGGATAAAAATTTTATCAACAAAATAAAATTGTATTAAATTTATTTCTATTAAAAACTATGATTAGGCAAAATTTCTAGAGTTTATTATGAAATGTTCAGATATCCAAAGAAACCGAATTTGCGGAATAGATTTATTTTTCTGAGACCTCTAGTGCTACAAGAAAAAAGAATGCGCAAATCATGCCCGAGATGGAACCTTTGAAATTACAGCACTTTTAGATAAAAAAGCCTATTTAGCTGGCCCTTTAAGAAATATCGGAATGACATGAAGAACCAGATATTTAATCTGAAGGTTACATAACAATTTGCAATATTTTTCAAACAAGATGATATGAATTTGGATGAGGTTATAATAATTGCAAATAATATTATATCTACCAAGAATTTTACGAGATTTGTGTGATTGATGAGGCAAAAGCGAAATTTATGATTTTGAGATTCGCAAGCCTCGACTCCTAGACAAACAAATCATTCCAGTATTCACCTAGACTTATTTAAGGATTACTATAAAATAACCGTTATTATTTCACTTTTGGATACATTTTTCAAATCAATAATTTGGGATTTATCAAATAACTATCCAATTTACAGATATTAATATACCTAGAAATCCGTCTGAGGATTAAATCTTATATTAATAAACACCTAGCACAATTTAATTCAGAGACTATAAATGTATCTGAAGAAAAATTAATTTCTGACGTTACATATAGATACGAAAGATTAATATATCCAAGAGACCCATGGAAGCATTGCATACTTTAAAATATATTTTAGCATTTTTGAAATATGATTACTGTATATTTTGTCAACAATACAATTAGTACAAGCATAAATGAGAGGACCTTTTCTTCGTTACTGAGAAAAAGAATTAATCTAATTACGACATCAGAAATTGATTTGAATGGTCTAGCTCTGCTTAATATACATAGATTTAATTCCCAATATAGAACGACCTAATGAGAAATTGGCGCAATTGCACAGACAACATCTACATGAGCGGGGGGGGGGGGTGTTTGCTTCCATTAAGGAGGTCATTTAAGGGGAGTGTAGGTTAGAGGTAGGATAAAATTATTTGGAAAGTTATCTATTAAGTTTTTAGAAATAGGGCAAAATATATTGCTGTAAAAAAATTATTCAATTATTATAGACCATTATAATGCAATGATCTAAATATAGGCCAAATTTATATATTGCATATAGTCATAATTTTTTAAATAAAACTAATTTCTGAATAATTTTCTGCTATCTTTTTGAATGTAATTTAAATTTATTTTAACATAAACAAAAATAAAATTTCAACAAATATCATCATTTTAATCGATAAACTTACATAATATTTAGATTTCCTAACCCCTATTGTGTTGCTCTTGTATTATAATTAAAATTAATGGTTTTTAAAATTTTCTCTTTAAACTGACTTATTATTTAAAAAGTTCCTTTAGGGAACATAATTTTTATCTGGTGGTAAAGATAAAAAAAATTTTAAATAAATTTCACTTAAATAGTAGAAACATGTAATGTAAATTATTTATGTATTGGTTCAAAGTTAAACCTAGATGACAATACACTAATATAATATCCTTCATTCATAAGCAATCATGTTGGCCAACACCTCTATTGATATTACTCATGTATAGCCTAATTCACAGTATCAATTATTAACCATTATATAGAAATTGCAGAAACTAAAAAATAATTTTTGCCCTATCTTTATCACACTTCCTTAGCACCACTACCTTGGGTAATCTTTAAATTTCTCAACACTAAGGTAGTGGTTGATTTTCTGTAAGACAAAATTGATACCATCTATGTAATGAATAGAATTTAAAGTATTTATAGGGTTTTCTTTCTCATTCAAAAAGAGTAAAGCTTTGATCAAAAAATAAAGTTTTTCAAATAAGGAAATAGACTCCAAAAAAATTTCAATAAAGGACATCCAGCAAATTCAGAGAAAGTTACAATAAAGTCATTCAAAAAAGGAATATTCTCAATAACTCTATTTTAAAAGCACAATGTATATATTTTGATAATTTATTTGTCATATATTTAAAAAAAATATATATTTTCTTCTTCTTTTTTGTATTCCCATTATTTTTTAGCTTCTCTTTATTTTTATTCTAAACATTTCCATTTACCTTTTATTTTATATAATAACTAGTGTTGCAAAAAAGTGGTATAATGATGACATATCTTATCCATGGTTTTATCTATATGTAGTGAATAAATAAAATTATTTATTTTTAGACCATTTAATAAAATTGTAATATAATCACTTGACTTTATAAATATTATACATGCAAGATATTTCATTATGTCTTATTTTTTTAAATAAATTTACCTACATCCACTCATGTTTCTATCATTAGAGAACCAATATAATCTGACACATAGTGAATGAATAACAATTTAATATAATGTAGGATAAATCTTATAAAAATTTAAGTGATATTTTTCTTGGAATACATATTTTACTAATAACAGGGATGTACCTATTCAGTCAATCTGAGCTATAAAAAATATAACAAGAAAATTATATAAATATATCCATTTTGTCAAAACCAGCTACAATTTTTTTAGAAATTGGTTGTTAATTTCAAATTCAATAAATGAATTAAAATAAAATAATTAGTCACTAATTTTAAGATTATCATGAGAATAAAATTTTGAATAAATAACAAAAAGATTTGGTAAACCGTTTATTTTTACCTAAACAAAAAATATGCATCAATAGTTGATTCTTTGAAATGTATCAATACGCGTCTTGCGCAATAATAAAATAATAATATGCTATAAATAAATAAAAATTTAAACTCGTCATTTTTTTTAAAATTATGATATAAATATGAAACTTACCAATTTTATTATTCCAAAGAAAGAAATATCAGGTTAATTTTAATAGCACAATTTACTTTCAGTTTTATTTCTACCATATCTTATAGGTTGCCCTTGCCTTCAAGATATTCCGATAGGATCTCATGAATATAAACAAATTACGAAAATACTATCCGACTCATTCACTTGCGATAAAAATCCAATGTGTGGAATAAATACAAAAAAAGTAATGGCGTAATTTAAATTTTTAAATGCGCATTAATACATAGCGCATCTTATAATTTTTCTACCAGATATCCTACATTAAGGTAAAATATTATTGTTTGATTTTTTTGAACATTTTTTAAACAGCCTAACAATCAACTGTTAAAGCATTTATAATACTTAAATAGTTGGTTGTTAATTCGTTTAATGATTGTTAGGTTTAATAAAATAATTTCTTAACTCAAATATTCGAATTGCCCATGCGCAGATAATTATTATCTATCTTATCCTCATGCAAATTTAATATCACTAGGAGAATAAATATTTTTATTTTAATCATTAAAAATATTTCATAATAAATTTTTATAATTTATTCACAAAATAATCTATTATAAATAAATCAAACCATCTGATTCATTTAAGTTTCTCCTGATTATTTCCCAAATAATTTATGCAATCCTCATAGTATTTTGTAAAAATTTTATATGAATTCGATACATGCATGAAATAATTTTAGATACTATTTAATTATAGAAAATTATATCAGTTTCACTCTTATAAGTTTGGCAATCGTTATCATGAAGTTACTGAATATGTCATATTTAGATGCATACAACAAAAAATATATGTATTTAAAAACAAGGGTTTCTTTTAGAATGAAATTAAACTTGTTATTAGTAAATCCTTTATTTGCTTAAATAATATAAGGAGAATGAAAATAATTCAACTTCAATTTGAAAAGATCTTCACTCACCTATCTTAATGCTAATTTAGTGTGAAAGAGAATTCAAGTCCAAATTTTAGCGCTTTTTGGGGTCTATTGCTTATAATACTTTGCAAGAAGATAATGAAATTCTTAACAAACTGAATACCGTATAAACTCGTTATAACTTTACGGGGAACGTTATAACGAAGTTATACTGTATATGGTATGGTTAAAATAGACAGAAAATTAATTAAACCAGATAAATAGGTAAATAACCGTTTTAACATTCCCAAAAATATTATTTCCTTTAAAGATTATATATTTTTGATAACATTCATTTAATTTTACAATTATTTTTAACATGTAGTTATTGTCAAAAGGAAAAAAAATGTGCTTTTTTTAGTATATTAGAGTTTAAAATTAATGTCTAATCAAATAACTAGTTAGTCTGGCCCAGAGACTTTCATGGCTTGGCCCGGGCCCAAAAAATTTTTTTAATGGGCTGGGCTTAGGCCTAAAATTATTAAATTTACATTATTTAAAACAGTTGCTAATTTAAGAAATATTGCCTTTTTTTCTAATAATGATAAATTTCAGTATTGCAAACTAAATGATTGCCTAAATATATTTAAATACTGTTAATTTTCATTAAATAAAAAAAATTAAATATTTGTATATGGGCTTAGGCTGGGCTTGGGAAATTTTTGTGTAACTTAGCATGGTTTTGGGATTTTTTTAACATTAAATATGGGCCGGGTTTGGGCCAAAAATTTTTTTTTACTGTGGGCTGGGCTTAAAAATTAAGCCCATGAAGGTCTCTGGTTTGGCCTGTAGACTATACCAAAATATTTATTTACTGTGTAACTCAAAATATTTTGAACTAAGCCAGATTTTTGCAATTTTTTTAAAGCTTTGAAATAGGCAAATTTATGTCTTTCCTTCTAAAAATTTTTATGACCTGGGTTACAACTTTTACAAAATTATTATATGTCAAGCTGGGCAAAAAAAATTTACTTCAAAAATCTTGATAGGCTATGCTGATCTCTAAAAATTTATCAGATTATTATTTAAATTATATATGGACATCACCAATACATACTAGATAAGGCCTTGTTTTATCTAAAAGGTTGGTTTACACAATCTAAACTTTCACTTAATAATTTCATTACTATCAGTTACAATGCAACTTTCCCCATCCTAATGTTCATATTCAACAATGACCTACTGTATTTTGTCGAAAGTGAAATCCAGAACTTTTTATGAACAAGTTGAATATTAATATTTGTTTAGAGCATTAATATTTTATACCCCTATTGAAAAGTGTAAAGATATTACAAATTCATTAATTTTGTCAATCTAAAATTAAAATTCTTCTTTGACAATCTTTTTCTTACTTTTAATAAGTTCATCTTAGCGGCAGAGAGCAATATCTACATAAACGGGAGAGGGGGCATTTGTTTCCTTATATCCTATAAAAATATAAGGTAGCAATATCTACATAAACGGGAGAGGGGGCATTTGTTTCCTTATATCCTATAAAAATGGGGTAATATATATATAAAAAATTGGGGGTGGGGGGGGGGATAAATCCTAGTGTGTACAAATTCACTCAAGAAATAATCTTTAAAAATAAATAATGATAAATAGTGTGTTAGATGAAGAAGCATCTATAAATAATAATAACTAGTTATATATTCATTAAATTATTTTCATACAATGAGGATTATTTTTCTTTGACACACTTGTATTAAATAATGTTTCTACAACTATATATTAAACTGATGCCTATTGGAGGTCAGTGAGGTCTGGCCCAGATTATGACAATTTTTAAGGTGTCAGTCTTTTTCATAAGACAATTTTGTACAAGATGTTCAGCCTTGCGCTTAATAATTTTTTAAAAGATAGGCGCAAACTGTCTGTTGGTGGAAGTAACTATTGACCAAAATATAAAATTACCGAGTATATTATTAAAAAATATATAAGATACAAAATCGGGAAAAATTATATTTGAATATATTTTTTTGAGAAAAATTTGACCATCCCTGAGGGTGGTAAAAATATGATGTTTGGATAATTTTCACTAATTATCCTCGCTCGATCGATGGTAAAATTGTATATATATCCAAAATATTTCCATTATCATCTGATTAAACTTTTTAATTATAAAAGAGAAAAAGTACAATTAATATTGTTTCAATGTGAATATACTGCTTACCTAATGCATTGTATATCCACATTTTGTGAGATTTTTTTTAAATAGTCATTCATATGAACAGGGTTGTATATTTCAAACTGTTTATATTTACATTTAAAAAAATTATTATTAGACTCAAATATTCGTCAATAAAAAGGGTGAAGAAAAATATCTTGAAAAAAAATATGAGATGAAAAAGTTTCTCAGCGGAAGATCTCCACAAGAAATTTACGCTTTTACATTTGTACCTCTCGATAAAGTCAATACGATAGCCAATGATGGAAGCTTAGAGATTGGTAATTTGAAAAAATCTATTCTTGGCTCCTGGGAAAAGGGGGTACATTTATTTCGTTATGCCGACACATGCATTTTAGACTCTAAGATCAATAAAAGAAATTACCATACGGACACGTATGGTAAACATTTATGGACCTCCGATACTCCTCCTTACACTTTCAAACTAAACAAAGGCGAGCAAATATCTTGTCTTATCATATTCAAGGTTATTATCATAATAAAGTTAACCCCAGATGGAATTTTTTTTTATAGGTTTTATTGGGTCGAATACAAACTGTTGTTGTTAATGGTGAGGACAACGGAATTGACCCATCCCCGATCCACGACTCTCATATACCTGATCAAAAACCTATACCGGATGAAAAATCTATTTCCCTTAAAAGAGATAAATCTATGGTCAGTACATAAATATTTATATTTAATCTAATAATATCAAATTATACCGTTGAAATATTTGATTGGCATAAAAAGATTTTTAGCAGAGATGCTTTTAACTTTTTCAGGTGTGATAATATAAATTGGAAACCACTTACAAATTATTAAATTTAAACTTAATGCCCAAATTATCTTTATTGTAACCATAAAATTAAATATATTTTTAAACTTTCAAATTTACTACACAATTTATATATTATTTATTTTTGAAACAGGAATTAAACTAATATGACATTTGTTATTTTTAAATTTGCCAATGAAAAATAAATAAAGAGGTAAAATTATGAATTTAGATGATTAAAAGTGAAAAGATAAAGATTCACCCAATCCATGTTTTATTTTTTTTTAATTGCTACCCCCCCCCCCGATATAAGTGGGAGTAGTGTTGTTAAAAAGCACAATTTGTGTCTATTTTTAAAAACGTCCCTATTAAAATTTTAGCTAAAATAATACTATGTAAGTCTCGAGATTTGGCAAATTTTTGCTATAGCAAAAATAAAAAATTATAAGTAATTTGTTTTTCGCCCCGGAAAATATTAATTGTTTGGGTTATAATTAGGTGTCTACCGATATCACTTTGGGAAGGCCGATCAGATCCGATACCATATTGCGATAATTGAAATCGGATTTTGTTAATTATACATATAATATATTTTAATTTTTATTGTAACATATAAGTCATTAAAAAAATATACTATTGTAAGTCATTTACTATTATCAAATTTTAATCAGTCATATTTTATCAATATAAAAAGTATGTAAACTGATAATTTATTTAGCAAAATCATTGTAATCTTTATTGTTCCAAAATTCTTTCTATCGCGGAGAAATTAGATTCCCATCTAGTCTTATTCCTGATCAATATAAATTGTTTTAGAATTTTAAATTATTTATTAAGTTTAAAATTATATAGGGGTGATCATGGCTAGTCGGCGTAATTTTTGTCAAAATCATCATAGTTAAAATAATTCTTATATTTGAATTTAAAAAATAGCATGAGATAGCCCAAACACCTACCTAACCTTATTCAATAATATAGATTTTATACTTTTATTTTCAAGATAATTCTAGTAAAAATGGATCCAGGGCTTGTAGATACAATATGGATATAATTATACTATTTAATCGCCGGGGTGGCCTAGTGGGTTATGATGTAGGCTTGGAAACAGAAGGTTTCAGGTTCGATCATGGTAAGGAACGTAAAAATTTTCGGATTTTTCTTCGATGACTGATGTGTAAAGACATATGCAGGTCATCGACAGGCTTGGACTGCCGAGTGCTAAGGATACTTGTCCTATAAACAAAAATGAAGGACACAAATGAAAATATGAATATGAAAGCTAGGGCGTTCCCTCCAAGCGACACGCAGGGTGTAGACTTCCATCCTGCGAAAAGTAAAATAAAGGCCAAAGCAAA